CGATGACTTTTTGTTTGCGGCGTTCTTTGCGTTTTTTTTTTTTTAAGCGGAGCGAATCGCGAAAACAAGGTAAAAATACGAAAATGTGAATTCGATAAAAGCGAAAGGTCAAAAAAATCCCTCGATTTCGCTGAAAGTGCGTGCATGCCAAGCTCGACACGCATGGCTTTGTTGAATATAGTTTTTCAATAAAATTAAAGAACTCCTAGTACTGTGTGTACCTGTTGGACACAAAAATAAACGTCTCAATTTCTTTTGTATGGGAGAAAAGGCGTTGGATTAGCGATGGCTATTTTTTGACGAAAAAATTACCTCGACGTCGACAACCATATTAGGGCCGATTACAAAACTGCATACTGGGGTACTGTGTAACTGGGTACTTTTCAGAAGAGCAAAAAAACTGTTGTAATTAGAAAAAAGTCTGGGATTCGACACTTTGTTCAAGACAGTATCCTCTGCTTCTAAGAAGACTAGAAATTCGAAGATTTTTCAACTTACGTATCATTGTAAATGCATGCGCAAGGTATCGTAACGATGCTATCGTTAATGAAAAAGTATTTTAGCACATTCGATAGTTTGACTTGGTAACGACGATATGTACCTTTTGGGGCTAATTACTGATTTTTTTATTTTTATTTTTTGAAGTCACTTTGGGCGTTCGTATGCACATATACATACATACATTTTTTTATTATTCTTGACTTGCGCTAAGCAGAAGCTGACACAATTTTTTTTAAATTTATTATGCGTTATTTGTCGCAACTACCATTATCCGCATACACCAAATTGTTTTGTGGAGTTTTATGTACATATACCTAATGAATATTTATGTACATATGTGATTAACTGTTGAGTATCTAGTTTCATATGTATGTACGTATGCACATAAGAATACATAGCACATTTGTATTCACCACTCCAATGCTTATGTCTGGCCCACCCGTTGACGTCAGTCCGCTGCTGCTGACTCCGGTAGTTTTTGTTGTCAAAAAGAGCTTAACGGAAACTCAACACCGAATTGCGCATATTTTTAGCAAATAATAGTAGGTGTCTGTTTCACGTATGTACATATTTTGTGATTTATTTTGTAGTTACATATCTGCATTACAATCTGTTTTGTATGTTGTTTATATTCACATTTTATTTGCTTGCTTGTTATCTATCTTTTATGTATGTACATATATTTGACGTTAGCTGCCGTATTTGGATGTGCGCTGTTTTTAAATACGTTTCATGCATTTTTCTTTTTTTCGAAATTCTTAAAACTATGCATTATTCGTTCGTTACTCCACTCGTTTCCTTTATTCAGCATTCAGCACATCCTCTTCCTGCCTTCGATAAATTCAGGTGTTTAATGTGGCAAACTGTGATTCAAGCATCAATTTTTCGACAGCCACTTCTAGAGTTTTCACAATTGTGAATCAGTCAGCTGCAGAAATTAAAGCTAACTGACATAAGAAGCGAAACAAAACCTTTGCTCAAAAAAAAAAAAAACAGTTGTGGCAAACTCATGCAAACACGTTCGTATATTTGAAGACTAGAGAACGCGCAACGGAAGTGCTGTCTGAAAGAAAACAAAAGAAATAAGAAAACTGAAACTAAAATATTCATTGTGGTACTTCAAAGATAACAAATTGTCGCCGCATAGCCCTTGAACTCGCGTAGTTGTCGTTGTCGCTGTTGCATCGCCTCGTGTTTTTGAAGAGTGCAGTGGGCGAGGGAGCGTGTGTGTTTACGTGGCGGTAAAAAAGCTGTTTAAACTGAATTTATCAAGCTCGTCGAAATTCCAATTTGCCACTTCTCCTTTCTTTCTACAATCTACTAACTACAGCACAAATCGTGGCCGTCTTATCTTTCGTTGCGACAATTTCTGTACCGTTTCAACTGCTGACCGGTGAAGCAACAGGAATAAACATATCAACTAATTAAATATTATACGCAGAAACAATAAAATAAAAAGATTCTTATATTTCGATAACATATTTATTGCTCGTGTGTGCTTTTTTTCCAAAATACGAGGATTTAAACATTTAGTACATAATGGTGAGTGTTTGTTTGCGGTTTTAGCTACGAAGCTAATAGCTGGCAAAGAAGCAAAGTAAAATTCTACGTCAGTCACGCGGTTTAATGTTAATTTTATTTTTTTTTTTTTTTTAATTCTGGTTGCCAAACAAGTTTCCTCCTTATCAGCATTGTTTTTCAATCATGTTTTTTTTTATGAGTGACGTTAGCCAATCGGTTTGTTTTTGCTTACTGGCAAGCGTGTGTCGTCAACAGTTCTAAGTTTGGATTAGGCTGAGTTTTAGTAAAAAAACAGGCACTGGAAAATGGTATAGTGGTAATTGTATTTTGATATAATTTTTGGTATGATCGAACGCACGTTTCATTTGTTATTACGTTTACTATTTCGGGGGAATGTTATTTTTGGTCTGAGGATTTTAATGTTATTAGCTACTAATTGCGATTTAGTGGCGTTTAGGAGCAGCAAAATTACCTTGAAAAAAACACGATAAGCTGTAATTTATATAAAGAATGCGTTTAAATCAATAAATAGAAGCAATTATTGCTTTTTTATCGCTTTGCTTTCCTACGTGGCTTTAACGTCATGTTGTGCTTAAATACACACTTCAATGCTAAAGCCGAAACATGCGTCTATGGGCCATTTTCCCAGTCACTAGTTCAATAAAAGAAAAACAGCTGTTTTTAACTATTGGTTAACTAATGCAGGCACATTAGTGAACGACAGGCAACCATTAGTCAAATTGATACTATGAAATGAAAAGTGGTGGTTTAACATTAGTATATTAGTTAACTAATGACTGTGAAAATGGCCCTATAGTATGTACATTAGGGTCATGATTTTTTTACACTTTTTTTAAATTTTGATTTGCCTGTGCTTGCTTTGCTTGAACTTTTGTCCATGTATTACTTTTTTGGCGATATTTTTGTTGGTTCGTGAAAATACCTCCCGCGCACACTATCATTTCATTTACAAGGCTGTTGCGTGGCCTTACCTAGTATAAAAATTCGACCGAAATTCCTTTTTGCCTACCAAGTTTTGATTTAAAAACGATGTGTATCAGCACTAAATCCACGAATCTATTTTACTTTAATAAAACCATAAAACATTTTAGAAGAAAAACATGTTTGAATATTAATTTTCTCCACTTAGAAACTGATAATAAATTCCGCTATGCGCGGGAGTTTTTTTTATAATTTATCAAAATTGTTATTTTTTGGAAATTTATACAAAAATTTATCGTTTGCCACCACAGGCATTTAAATCTAAAAAAAATCATAACCGTAATGTACATATGTTTAAGAATGCTGCTTTTAATACTTATCTTAAAGTATATTTACATATAAATATAATCTCAATCAAAGCTCGTTTATTAATCACCCTGTTTACACAGGACAATCTTAGATTATTAGCCGTCATGCTTATTGTGCTTGTTATTCTCCCATCTCAAGGAAACTTTATTTTTCTTCTCTGTGCCACCGTGATCTCTTTTTTCTGCTATATTAAGCAATTTAAATATATTTTAACTCAATATTTAATTAAAAATACCTTTGCAAACCTCCTTTCCTTGCTAGCGTCCATTTTTGTTTACTTTTACATTTGGCATTTCTCCTCTTCAGGGTTACTGCTGAAAATTTTTCGAAAGCCCCAAAAAAGTGTCACAGCCGAGAAAAGTGTTTTTAAGTCATTCATATCGTTTATACCATGTTTGTAGTATATAAAGACTTTCATTATTTAACATTTCGAAATAGCATCGACTCGTAAGATTAGTTATAGCCTTTTGACATAATTTTTAACGTAAAATCTGTCAAAAGCTGCTTAGAATAGACTTCTTTTCATCTATGAGTACGCCCCATCATTTTCTGTCAAACATAGTTTTCCTTTTAAAATAAAAACCTATTCATGAGGGATATATGTATTAAAAAGACGCAATATGCATGTTTTGCATTTATTATGGAAACGAAATTGCAGCTGAAAATGTACTTACACTTCATATACAAAAAAGCAATATTAGTAGATAACAATTGTTATAACAAAGTGTAGCCGTTTAAGTTTGTATATATATGAACTATCGCAAATTATTTGTTTGTACCGGGAGTCACCAAAATAAATTTAATACAACTAACTTTTGGGAAATGCTAAGCTACAAAAACTGTGCATTAATTCATTTAAACATTTTTGCTGAAAATGTTTGACATAATAAAAAGGTTGAAATCAGTAAAAATTTTGCCAGAGGTGAAATTTTTAAGGTGCCTTTGAAAAGTAAATACTAAAAGTATTTTTAAACACGTAAGAAAAATATAATTTATGAAAAAATTGTCAAAATGTGTATATAGAATTTTAAATTAAAGAAAAGGGCAAAAGTCGCATGATTTTTAAGAAACGTTTAAAAAATTTTTTTTTATAAAGTCGGTGTCAGGGGGCATCGATCTCCAAAAAGTGTCAATTTGATACTTTATTTGCACAACGGTAACACTACTCTTCTTCGCAAAAATTATCGATAAAACTAGGTTGGATACCGAAAAGTTATCGGTTTAATCTGAGATTATTTTATAATTACAGATTAACAAGGAGAAATTTTGTATGGCTAACCTCTTTTTCTAATTACAGACTAGGGAGTTGAGCACGAAAATTAGGATAATCTACTTATGTATATGTAAACCTAGTATTAAATAAATGACGCGAGGCCATACACATATGTATGTATGTATATGTACATACATAACCCGGCTTACCAAAAGGATCCTAAAAGACTCTTTTTGAGCTATAAACCTTCTTATATCGGAGCTTTTCCCTCATAAATGAGCTCTTTAGGAGCCTTATACTTATGGAGTATACTTAAGTATAGATATTCGTTTACGCATCTGTAGTAAATTTTTTAGACAATCATAAATTATATTGATTTATGAAAATATGTATGTATGCATGTACATATATCACTTTAATTTTTTCTAACCTTTTTCTTCTTCCTCTTTTCCAGGCTGACCAACTGACAGAAGAACAAATCGCTGAATTCAAAGAGGCATTCTCGCTCTTCGATAAAGATGGTGATGGCACCATCACGACAAAAGAATTGGGCACAGTGATGCGATCACTAGGACAAAATCCAACAGAAGCCGAACTGCAAGACATGATAAATGAAGTCGATGCTGACGGTGAGTGTTCAGAAGTTAATTAACATACTTTTGTATGGTAGAGCTTATAAAAACTTAAGGAATTTCCGGAAGTGATATTGTGTGTATAACGGCGTATTTTTCACAGAAACCGGAAGTTTGCAAACAAATTAAAAAAAGATAAAATAAAATAAAATTATAGAATAAAAAAAATTAAATAAAACGACAAAATAAAAAAATGTGTGCACAGGCACACTTTTCGATTAAACGATAGCACTGTAGCACACTTGGCACAATATGAAAGCACAAACTGGGAAATGTTTTTAGCAGGGACGTGAACCGGCTTTGAACCGGAAAACCGCGTTTTTTCTATTAATTAACTGAACCATTAACCGAACCGAAATTTTCCATAAATGTTTGATCCGAACCGAAAACCGCACCACTTTCTATGAAGGTTTAAAGGTTCCTTTCAACCAATTTTCAATAGATATTTTTTTTCTTTTTGTTAAACATGGTAATACCTGCCATGTTTGTTTACTATGTGACAATATCAAATGTGAAGGCAACCCATCTCGCCCTTACCTTGCGCATTGTTACACTTGACACTTGACACTTAAACTTGCGCGTTATTGTTTTGTTTCTCGAACCGTTGAACTGAACAAAAATCCCGGTTCAAAGATCAAAAAAACCGCTTTGACGAACCCATCTAAAAGTGCAAAAACGGTTCGAACCGCTGAACCGAACCGACCAAATTTTTCATCCGGTTCACGTCCCTGGTTTTTAGCACACATGGCACACTCTGCTGTGTTGAGTGTTCTCGCCGCCAATAATCGCAAAACATAAGAAAATAGCAAATTCGAGCGAAGGGTTGAAGGGTAGCAATAACACAATTGTGCTAACACAGTAGGGGTATTCTCGAAGTCTTGCACGATGCACGGATTGCACGAAATGCAAAAATACTATTCCAAATTTCGAGGAGTACGAGAGCACCCCATCACAAAGTGATAGCATGCATGGGATGCAAGCATCGAAATTATGTATCAAATACAAGAACAAGAGACAACAAAAAAAATGAAGTGAGCGAGATGAGAGGAATGAGAAAAATATGTAGCAATTCCAACAACGAAACAACTAGCAGAGGGTCGCATTTATCTTGCTATGCTATTTTGCAAAATATATACATGGGTTTCGACGTTGCATATTTTGCAGCGAAGCAAATGTTGTTTCCAATGTATTTTGTTGTTGTGTGTTTGCACGTTATGCAATCCATGCAATCCGTGCTACGTGCAATGGCTTTGCAAGATTTGGAGAATACCCCTAGTGTCTTAACACCTCATGGTGTGCGTATGCCACTGTGTCAACACACAAAAAATCGTGTCATTACCCACCTCTACTCTTGAATGCAGAAATATAAAAATATAAATAAAAAATATAAGAATACTAGCTTTTACCCGCGGGTTTCACCCCACGCCAGAAGGAATTAAAGGGGTCATGTGACTTATGGTTCCGAAGCTATGACTGACTAAAAATTCCACGCCTATGTTATCTGCCACGCCTCTTTACAAACTCATTTATATATACTTTAGATAAGCATCTACCATAGATATGTTTGCATACCAAATCTCAAGTTTATGTGTCTTACGGTTCCGAAGTTAATTCACGCCTATGGGAGGTGCCACGCCCCCTTTTCCAATTTTTCCCATGAGTATGAAATTCATTTTATTTATCTCGACAGCAAGCTCCAGTGCTCTACCACAAATATTTCAAGAGATATACAACATGAAAATTTTAGTTAGTATAGGAGGTGTCGGCCGCTGTGGTGTAGTGGTAAGCAGTGCGCGCTTCTACTCCGCAGCACCTGGGTTCAAACCTTGGTCAAAGCAACATCGCAGAAATATAGAAAACAAGTTTTTTCTTAACAGCGGTTGTCCCTCGACAGGCAATGGCAAACCTCCGAGCGTATTTCTGCCATGAAAAACAGCTTCTCAAACTGTAGGTCCCTCCGATTTGTGTGACAACATCAAGGCGCACGCCACAAATCGGAGGAGAAGCTCAGCCAAACATTAACATATGTGTAAGCACCAATCTATTATAATTATTATTATTATTATAGGAGGTGCCACGCCCTCTTTTCCAGTAATGTCCATTTTTCTATATTCCTATAACCTTCCCGAGGTAAAAGCAAATAAGTGTGCAAAGTTTCGTGCGTTTCCGTGCCGCGGTTCAGAAGTTATAAGGTTATAAACAAACAGACATTCACATTTATATACATATACATATAGATAAAAAATAAAAAAAAATATTAAAAATATAAAAATGAAAAAAAAAAATAAAATAGATATACATATGTATGTATAAATGTAAAAAATTTAAAATATAGATAAAAATATAGAATATAAAATATAAGAAATATAAAATATATGAACTATGAAAAATATAAAATAAAAATATGAAAAACAAGACAAAATATAAAAAATTAAATGTAAATAATAAATAATAAAGTAAAAAATTAAATAGTAACAAAAAATAAATAAAAAGGAAAATAAAACAAAAAACAAAAATAAACAAAAAAATTTAAAAGAGCAAATTAAATAAAAATTACAAATAAATACATATAAAAAGTTTAAAAAACTATAACAATCAATAAAAATATAAACTAAAAAATATATCAAATTAAAATTATAAAACAAAGTAAATAAAAAATCAAAAAATAGAAAAAGCAAATAACCGAAATAAAACATTAAAAAAAGCAAATGAAAAATAAAAGGTCAATTAAATAAATTATCGAGGAAAATTAAACAGAGTACGAGTAAAAAAATAATACTCAATAAAAAATACATATAAAAAATATAGTTTAAAATCTAAAAACCCGCTTTCATAATTTCCATTCGTACTGTCATCAGGTTACTTGTATGTTGAGAATGGAAATCACTGTATCTTTTAGGCGCTTTAATATTACATAGTTAGATCCCAAGCTAATAAAAGCGAGGTAAAAAAGAAATAGAATGAACTGACTATTCTGTGACTGGCGATTGAAATTACTTTATTGATCAGACTCAGAACAACCGGTTAGTTTATACGCATACGCACAACATATTATAAGACGTGTGTATTACATATCGACGGCTGAGTGTAAGATCGACCTATCTCCGCAGCCACTTCGAAAACGACCAACATTTCTTAGAATTTTGTGCAAGAACACCCTATCTCAATGCAAATTCAATATTTGGGCAGCTGAGATTGGGAGTTATGATTCATTTACTGATATAGGGCGTTCTTCAACCAAATTCTGAGGTATGACCTTCTTCAACCAAATTCGGTAGTAGGGCGTTTTTCAGTAGGATGAATGAATCAGAACAACAATTTTCTGAATCACTCTATTCTTCAGCCATTTCTCAAATAGTTTTCGAGCCGGCGAGATAGGTCTATCTTCCACTCAGTCGCCGATATGTACGTCGTAGGGGTCTTTACTTTGCCTACGATTTTAACTATTTATACATTTCCTTCTAAGTATTCTTGTATGTACACGAACCTGGATTATTTTTGGAAAAACAATACAATTAACAAAAATATTTCAATTAATCCTGAATCATTCTACATAATATTCGCATCATTTTTTTGACTTCGTTACAAATAGTAATTATGTATATGGCTTCGTAGCATATAAATAATGATTCTAAGTAGTAATTTATCAGGAGTGTGAAGGCAAGCAAATTCAATGTGTGGGAGGCAGCAGCACGCGCTTTGGTAAATTATTTGATCAACAAAAAATACGAAAACAAAACGGGTTAATGAGAAAAAATAGAAAACGAAAGAAAAATTAGAAAATCAATAAAAACAACAAAAAGACGAAAAAATAAAATAAAAATAAAAATAAAAAACAAGTAATGAAGAACTAAAAAATGCCAAAATTCGCACTTGTTTGTCGGCTTTTGCGTATAATATACACTAAAAGTTAGAAAGCAAAAAATATCGCACTGTTAAAACCAGATGAGTGAGCATCTACTACCCGCCTTTGTCCCACGATTTCAGGCCATTGCGCTGCTGCCTTGGTCCGCCGGCAATTCTTCGCCGAGTTGAAATGAATTTTGCGCAGAGAAGCACCTTTGTATGTACATACATACATACTACATGCTTACTTAGGTGTATAAATATACAAACAAATGCATGAACGAATATTCTCATATGGCGTACAGCCAAGTTAAGAATAGCATATTAATAAGAATTTTAATCATGAAATAAAATATCACTCCATTTCTCCCTCATTCTCAGCGTTTTTGGCTCGCCATTGCCGCCTCATTATTGTTCGTTTTTGTTCTTTTTGATTTTCATGTTGTTTTTGTCAAGTTGTCTAAATGTCTGGTATGTCTCTTTAAGTTATATTAAGTGAAGTATATATGAAAGAAAAGCAAACAAGCATGGCGAGCGAGTCGTTGAACGTAGCAACAGGAATTAAATAAAGATAATAAAAATAAAGAAAAAAAAAAACAATCGTTCTTAAGTGTAGGAAAAACACTTGATTATTCGCAAGTGCAAGCAGTGGAGGAGGGCATTTGCGAAAGTGACAGGGGGAGCGAGCAAGCGAACGAATGTTGACAAGTGCCGACAAGTAGGCGCAAAGCTACTCGTAATCCAATCGTATCTACTAAAGCCCATCCAGATAAGCATCTTAATTCTGCAATTTTGCGATTTCTTGCCGCGTCACGCCAACCCCCCCACTGCTGTTGGCTCACCCAAATGCTATCTGCTACTCGCTCGATGCTGAGTGTCCTTTTGGCCAAGGGAATTTCACAATTTGCAAGGCAGAACGGCGCCCCCTCTTTATCACCATTGCAACTCCAGCCAGCATTGACAACATTTGCCTTGTGTGGTAGTGCCCAGTGTTGCCGTTGAGAATTTGCAGAAAGTCGCAAAAAAGGGGTAATTGACGAAAAAAGGGTTACCATTCTATTTTTTCTTTTCTTTACTAGTAAAAGAATAAATCTGACATCCAAGATCAACATCAAATTTACATGTAAAGTCTTTTCTCTGCTAGAACGTTT